CTGTAGTGAGAGCTTTCCTGCTGCCCGGCTCCTGGCTGCCTGGCTAGCTAATGCCCCAAAATAATTACACGGAAACTGTATTCTTTTAAACACTGCCTGGCCTGTTAGTTCTAGCCTCTTATTTGCTAAATCTCACATCTTAATTAACCCATTTCTAATAATCTGTGTAGCACCACGAGATGGTGGCTTACCGGGAAAGATTCAGCATGTCTGACCTGGCGGCTGGCTCCATGGCGTCTGCCTCACTTCCCTTCTTCCCAGCATTCTCTTCTGTCTACTCCACCCACCTAAGGGCTGGCCTTCCAGAATTTCTCCTACAGGAATTTTAATGCAGAGGGATAATATTATCTTAAAATGGATCTTTCTACCACATAAACCAAGTAAAAAACTAAAAACTTATGTGGAAAGGGTACCTGAATTAATTAAAAGAGGTAAATTGAGACTTCATCAATTAACAGGTATAGACCCAGCCGAGATTTTAGTCTTTTACTGCTGAAGAAATAAAAAAGTTATGGAAAGACAATGAACCCTGGAAAAGGCCCTGTGCTGATTTTTTGGGAGAAATTAATAGCAACTATCCCAAAAGTGGTAGACTTAACCTCATAAAGAGAACTTCTTGGATTCTTCCCTGAACTGTACATGATGCACCAATAACTGGAGCCTGTACATTTTATACTGATGAAAAGAAATCAGGGAAGGCAGGTTACAAATCAGAAGAATTAAGTAAGGTGGAACAAAGCCCTTATAATTTTGTCCAGAAGGCAAAATTATATGCTATTCTTAAGGTACTAAGGGACTTTAAAGAACCTCTCAATATAGTTACTGCTTCACAATATGCAGAAAGAGTTGTCTTGCATATTGAAACTGCTGAATTCATACCAGATGATATAGAATTGACTTCATTATTCAGCCAAGTACAAGACAATCAGGAATGGGCTTTGTCCTATATACATAACACACATCAGATCCCATACAGGTCTGCCAGGTCCTCTAGCACAAGATAACACAGAAATTGATCATTTGTTGATTGGAAGTATGTTGCACGCCTCTGAATTTCATAAAAAACATCATATCAATAGCAAAGGTTTAAAGAAAGAGTTTTCTATTACATGGTAACAAGCTAAGGAGATTATAAAGAGATGTCCTACTTGCTCTTTCTATAATCAAAAACTGCACAGAGTAAGCCAAAGGGTACTCAGAGGAATGAAATTTGGCAGATGGATGTGTTCCACTTTACGGAATTTGGTAAATTAAAATATGTACACCACACCATAGACACGTATTCAGGTTTTCAATGGGCAACCGCCTTGAGCTCTGAAAAGGCTGATTCAGTAATCATGCATTTATTAATAGTTATGGCAATCATGGGCATTCCTGCACAAATAAAGACAGACAATGGTCCAGCATATGTATCTAAGAAAATGAAACGGTTTTTTTGCTTATAATAATATAAAGCACGTTAAAGATATACCAAATAATCCTACAGGTCAGACAGTTATAGAAAGATCAAACAGTACTATAAAGGATATGCTGAACAAACAGAAAGGGATGGAAAATACTCCCAGAAATAGACTACATAATGCTTTATTAACCTTGAATTTTCTTAACACTAATGAGAAAGAAACAACAGCAGCAGAGAGGCATTGGAAAATGGAAAATACTTCTGAATTGAATCAACCAGGATCAAGGATGTGTTGACCTAACAGTGGGAACCAGGAGATGTGCTACGTTGGGGAAGGGGTTTCACTCTTGTTCCACAGGAGAAGAAAAATCATGGATACCATCAAAATTAATAAAGATTCACTTTGAAAAGGAGAAACCTCTTGAAAAAGAGGAATGACAGCTTATCCACAAAGGTGCCAACCATACAGGTGGAAAGAAAACCTCATAAGGGTTGGGGCAGGGTTCTTCTCGTCTTTACAAGAAAATATACATCTTCAAAAATTCAAGAAACCCTGGCTGTTTGGATGTTGACAGAAGGAAAAATAACTACCCAATAAGGATCATCAAGAAAAAGGAAAATGACTTGTAAGGACAGGTGACTAAAATATATATATTTTATATTTATATATAGAGCTGGTTTTGGAGTTGGATAATGGCTCTGTACTTCTCTAAAACCAAGCATGTTGTTAAAAGGAACATTCAGAGTTTCTGTCTCAGGAGCTATCTGGCAGAAGGAAGACTTTAGGAAAACTTTTACTTTCTCCATCTCTGTTCTGTCTATATTGTATTCTTCATTGAATGTATGTTTATATGAATGATGTTTAAGGTTTCCACAATGAACAGTAGATTTTCCTCCAGATCCTTTTTCCTGAAGTAATCTTTGAAGTTTCCAGGAAGAAGATGGGGCCCCACAGCAATAACTCCACTGGATTGAGATGACATCATAATGCAGATAGCGCTACTACAAGACTGGTTTTTTAGGTACTAGCTGCTGAAATGATGCACCTTCTCATGGTATTCTGGCCAGAACTCCAAATAAGAACTTTGAAAAAAGAATCCTATCTACTGCTCAGAAATTGTTTGCAACTATTCCTTTGGGCATGTCTCAACTACTGACAAGTTACATGATATCCGGAAATGGATAAGCAGGATTGTAAAATCGTGCCAAGACAGGGTAAGACAGTTCTGAAAATTTTCCTGCCTCTGAAAATGGTCTGTCACTTAGGCTAGGCCTTAGCCAAGGTTGTTTGCTTCAATGTTGCAAAATGAGACTTTGGGTGATTGCTCAGATAGTTATTGTCTCCATCATATATTGCTCACTTTGGAAGCTGCTTGATTGTACTTCCTGCCTGCTCAAGTAATATTATCTCCCTTCTCAGGCCTTCAATGGGGTTGAAGATTAGACAGTCTTAGTTACTGTCCTCTTATGATCTAGCCAAGCCATTTCCTATACAAGACTTAGACTCCTTAGGATAGAATGTTTACTAAAACATTTAGCATATGTTCCTTGATTAATATTGTTTATGCTGGTTGTAATTCTAATTATACTTGATATCTGTTCCTAGTGTATATAGTTTTGTATTGGGTTTGGAACCCTCTTATTTAAACAAAAGGAGGAGGTGCTGTGGGAGCACACTCTGCTCCTTCAGCCAATAGACTTTAAGATACCAGCCCACTTGGGTGTGGCCTCTGGTACTGTAAAAAGCAGCTGTAAAGCCTGTGCCCACTCTCATGCTTCCAGCTCCCACTTCGGGCTGCTAGACTGCTCCTGTTCACACAGAGGACTGTTGTCTAGGACAGTGATCTGTAACTTTTTTCCCTAAATAAATAACCCTTTTATTATTCAAAATTCTGAGCTGGTATGGGATTATTTTGTGGCTTCTGTCATCAGTAGTCCAGAACGGTAAACAACAATTCATCCATATCAACATATCCTAGGAGGAAGGTAACTATGATGTCACAGGGACAGAATCTGACACTTGGGGGACATGGAGACCTCATCCTCTGAATCTCTTTGGCTGTTTTGTCAGAAGTCCTTTAAGGCACTTTATAATAAACCAACACTGTGAGCATTTCCTCAAGACCTGTGGGCTGCTCTGAACTGAGCCTAATTAGAGGGTTGACAGGAACCCAATCCATGTCTGGTTAGTCTGGAGTTCTGAAGGCCCAGACTGCCGATCATGTCTGAAGTGGAAATGGTCCTGTGCTTCAGCCCGCTGACACCTTTGCTGTCTCCAGGTAGACAGTGTCAAAGCAGACACAGAGTGGGTGACCACTATAACACACACTCACATGCACACACACACACAGAGATACGTGCACACACATACATGCGCACACAGCTCACACGACCGATCCATGTTGTGAGAGTCAATTAGGAGGGACTGAGTTGAATGTAAGTCTGTCCGGATATCCTCAGAATGGGTATTGCCCAACACAAGGAAACTCCGGTTGCCTTTAATCCATGACTAGAGCAGAGGTGGTGTGATCCATCAGGAGAAATGCCCATTGTTTATTGTTCAGTATCAAAGGACAGCATCAAGCAGAAGGAAATCAGAGGGTATCATCATATAAAACCTTAGTAGCATCTTTGTGTCTGTGCCTCTTGGGATGTGATACAAAATACATCTCTCCCTGGTGGGATGGGAAAAAGATGCTGGTGAACGCTGTCAGCATGTGAACATTTCTCACAGTAACCTGGATAAAACTGAACGCTTCCTTCAATCTTATACATTTTATAATTCAGATTACCAAAGCATCTGGTGCAGGGTAAGATAGACTTAGCTGAAATCCCATGGTCATAAACACCTTAAAATAACACAAATACAAAAACAGTAAAGCGTTGTTGAGTTTGAGACCATAATTTTAGATTCAGTTAAAGAAAGAAACTCTGGAGGCTGGGAGATGTCTCAGGCCACAAAGCCCCTCTTGCACAAGTGCCTGGTTGGGATCCCAGCACCCTTGTTAAAGCCAAGTCCAGTGGCACAGGACAGCTTGGGGGCAGCAGGGAGGGGAGGGGGGAGGCAGTGGGGGAGGGAAGGTGTGCTGGCCAAATCAATGAGCTCTGTGAGAGAGATCCTATCTCAAACAATAACCAAGTCAGACACCTGACGCTGACCTCTGGCCTGTGCACACACATGCACGTGCATGCCTACACACACATGAACACTTCCACAAGAACACATACACCATATGCACACACAAATGTACCCCCCCCCGCAACAACAGCAACCATCAAAGAAAACGATAAAAATTACTTCTTTTTCTCTCGCATCTGAAGAACACACAATGTGTGATTTTCATTGTGAGGCATCCTGCGCTGTTTCTGCAGCCTTCACCAGTCAACCTGTCAGACTTTGTTCTCTCACACTGCACCCAGTCTAACAGGTAAACACGGGCACCAATGAAGCACTTCAGATCCTCCTTCATTACAGCCGCCTTCTCGCATGGGCCCCAAACTCGCAAAGAGCCAAACGTGAAGCATGGACGAATCGGGATGACCTTGAAATGTGTGCTTGTGCTAGGCAGCAAGATGGACTTGTCCTCACCCATCATACCTTGAAGACAGTCCAGACAGGGCTTTCTTGAGGATCTCAGGGGTCCTGTCTGAGGATGGTGGGATCTCAGGAACATCAGAATCTCCTCTGGCGTCGAGATCTCCATACCTGTCGTCAATATCTGTTTCCTAAAATTAAAAGGAAGAACTGTCTGCAAAGCATCCGTGCGTATGTATATTCTGAGATGGGGCTAGGAGTGCCTTGGGACTGGCTCGGAGCTGGCCTGCAGTTCATTGGGTCACCCTGTGGTTCTCAAACTCTGGCACTCCTGCCTTGGCTTATCAGTGCTGGGATCTAGGTGTGTATTATCAGTCCTGGGGCAAAGTGTTCTTTTAAACAGCACTGCTTGCCAGCGCATCCTCTCATTGCTCGGTGAGCCACACTAAGCTGTCCAATCTAAGACAAAGGCACTATTAGCCTCCACTGAATGCCCAAGCACTGCCATAGTTTCTTGCTAAGTAAGCTTTATTATCTTTGGTAAAATTCCAAAAGAAAGGATTATCTTAAACAAAAGACAGAAGAACAGTTCAGATGACTCCTAAGTCAGGTGTTTGCTGACAGAACCAAGAATTTACTGTTTGCCTCTCAACTGGGAGGACAGGGCCATTTCTGTAGATTCTAACCAGCCATTCAGTCTGGTTTTCTTTGACTAACATCCCAGCATCAACATGAGGAAGGCTACTTGCTTAGGTGCAGCAATATGGATTTTTAACACCCATCATTTTTACTGGATCCCAGGAAAGCCAGTCAAATGGACACTATATTTCTCCAACAGATGGACATGATCAAAGGTGTTACTTCAGTTGTCTGATTAAACTTATTTGATATCTAAGCTAACTTCTAAGAGGGCACGTACACAAGCACCGTGTGTGCTATAGGCCCTAGAAGCCCTGGGTCTCTAGGACAAAGACCACCCTAGAACGTTCAGGATAGGCTGGCCAAGGCATTTGTGAGAACAGTCATGGCATCCTTCCCTTCTCCTAGCCCTCCAAGCTCCTGCAGCCAACAGCCTTCAGGAAGGACGGTGATTCACAGATTTGAGGACCAGAGGGAGCAAGCTCAGGGGAAGGCACATTCCCAACAGACAAGGGCAGGCACTGGGCACAGAGAGGGCTGAAAAACAACTCTGAGGAATCTAAGTTTGGCAAGTCTCATCACCACATTAACTGCATTTGATATGATGCTGAGGACGGGGTGAATTCAAACAAGCAGTAGGAAACCCCTCAGGTGGCTTTCCAAATGAAACGTTAGCATTTAGGCAGAATTTTCAGACTTTATAAAACAAAAATCAAAGTTCAGCCTACCAAATGTAGCTCTGATATAATGTCGTTTTCCTTCAAGTGAGAAACATTTTTGCAATCCACATCCAAGTCCAGTGGGCAGTGACAGACCTGGCTCATGCCTCATCTGCTGTGCTGGCCGGTTTTAACTGTCACTTGAACCAACCTGGTTCCTGCAAAGGAGGAATTATCCAGATCGCATATCTATTTTGCATCACAGCGATGGAACAGTGACCAAGACAGCACTGAAGTGTCTAAGAGTAAAAAAAGCTCGTCAGCAAGCAGACTGCAGCATGGCGCATTTATCTCTCTCTGCTCTGACTGTGTGTGTGTGGTGTAGTTAGCTGTCCAGGACCCCTGCCTTTGTGACTTCCCTGTCAGTGAGGAGCTTGAGAATTCCAAACTAAAATAAACTCTCTTAGTAACACTGCCTGCTCTCAGGATTTTTTTCCTCAAAACAACAAAAATGCAACTGGAATATTGCCCTCCTCCCGTGCTGCCATGCTCTAGAACACTGCCCTTCCATGTGCTGCTGTGCTCTAGAACACTGTCCTCCCTCCACACTGCCATGCTCTAAAACACTGCCCTCCCTCCACACTGCCATGCTCTAGAACACTGCCCTCCCTCCACACTGCCATGCTCTGAACACTGCCCTCCCTCCACACTGCCATGCTCTAGAACACTGCCCTTCCCCCATGCTGCCGTTCTCTTAGTTATATTCCTCAAGTTCTGAGTTTTATCTTTCTTCCTTTAGAGAAACACAATTTAAAATTTAAGATTTAATTTTATTTGTTTAATTTCATCCTAAATAAAGACTAAAGTGTAATTCCCAAACACAGTATATTAGAACAGCATTACTCACACATCAGAACTGAATGGGTCCTCTGCCCCAAAGACAGTGGTTTCTAAAGGATGTCAGGAGAATGAACAAAGGATCACTTCACTGCACTGATGCATGCTGGGTAGATTCAAACAGTTCCGAAAAGCAAAGTCACAGATGCCTTTTGCCAAGCCAATAGTTTATAGGTGGTTGTCTTTCCATCCTGGGCCCCCGACTCCAAAGTCTACATGCCTCTCCTTTATCTCTGTTCACCAGGGACCTGTACCTCTAGCTCCCAGTCTGCCATGTCCAGGAATGTTTCCATGAAAAGCACCAGGGTACACAACAGAAACAACTGACCTGCCTCTTCCACCAAGCCTGCCTTTTGACTTTCCTTCTGTTACCATCAGCCCTCCTGGGCATCACCCTCCTCCCCATGCCTCAGCCTCTTCCTATCCTGCCTACTCAAATCTGCTGTGCACACTGCAGCCAAGGCCATTTTACAAAGCCACAAATCCATCTTACTGCTCCCTGCCAAAAATCACCAGGATGAAGCCAAATCACTGAGTGCTGTTTTGGCTGTTTCTACGAGGGCACCCATGTCTTCCGGGCATCCTCCTTGTGCCCCACTTTTTTAAAAGCATCCCCCTCTTTCCTGCATGTAGACACATATTCTCTGTAAATACAGGAATTACAGCCTTCTCTTGCCCGCTTTGTTTCTAACCTCCCAGCCCATTCCTCAAGTCCTGCTCCTGCAGGGCCCTGACCTGACCTCACCAGCAAGGCCACACTCCTTTAGATCTCATCTTCTCTGACTCCCAGCTCCAGGTTAGCTATTCTTCAACTATACTTCCCGAATTCACTTTACCGCAGTGACCTGCCTGCTATCTGTATTTGTTACTAGTCCACACCCTTTGTGCAGGGAAAGTGTGGACCACAGGCAGCAATCCCAAGTCCAAGGAGCGGCACTGAACAAACATGCTGAAGGAGTCAAGTCTGCTGCTACAACTTTACACTAAAGAAAGTTCTCGGCTGGGCGGTGGTGGCACACGCCTTTAATCCCAGCACTCGGGAGGCAGAGGCAGGCGGATCTCTGTGAGTTCGAGACCAACCTGGTCTACAAGACCTAGTTCCAGGACAGGATCCAAAGCTACGGAGAAACCCTGTCTCAAAAAAAAAAAAAAAAAAAAAAAAAGAAAGTTCTCACCTGCTCTCGCTACAGGCAATCTCAGGTAACTCACCTGGCCTGGGACCTACCTTGTACTTAGGTAGAATGAGAACTTCTGAGTAGGGGGCACTAACATCCAACTACAAAGCCCAAATAAAAATTGTCTGCTCATGGCGTCTGAGCTGAGTGAGTCTCCCTGATCACCTGCAAGTCTGGCTTCTACAGTGAAACTGATTCTAGAATGCGGAGCGAGATGCTTCCTAGATACTGATTCACTTATGATGCGTTCACCAAAGGAAATAATCACTTCCATTGCATAAGTGACAAAGTTTACGCTGAGATGTCAAGTAAAACACCCACTCTGCCCAGCTCTAGATAGACTCCCAAACCACTCTGTGCACTAACTCTAAGCCTGGAGGCACCCTGACAGGAAACCTTAACAACAGAAGAGCCAACTTTGAAGGAATAAAGCTAAAGAACATCCACTGCTGTTTGCAGGAGTTCCTATAAAGCTGCTGTCAGCAAGACCACATGGCACTGAGACAAAAGACAGAACCATCCCCGGAACAGGGTCCAGGAAGGGACCTTGCACACACATGCCCACCTCATTCTCAACACTCTGAAAACTGTGTTTCGGAAGGCCTGCAACAACTGCAGAAATGGGATCCTTACCCAGATATCATGACACCCAAAGTACAAAACCCAAGTCAAAGAATTTTTAAGATTTATTATGTATACACACACCAGAAGAGGGCACCAGATCTCATTATAGATGGTTGTGAGCCACCATGTGGGTGCTGGAAGAGCAGCCAGTGCTCTGAACCTTTGAACCATCTCTCCAGCCCAGTAAAAGAATTTTTAAAATTCCATAAAGTCTCTGAGTTTGGATTAGGTCCTAAAGACTTTTCTTAAATATAACAAAAGTATGATCCATAAAAGAAAAAAGAAAACAAAATTTACTAAATTATTTTTGAAAGACACTGCTAAGAGAATCAGAAGACAAGCCAAAGAGTAGGAGGGCACCTGTCAATCACACAGCTGCTGATGGCCTGACAGCTAGGAGAAAACACCTGTCAATCACACAGCTAGAGATAGCTTTGACAGGTAAAATAGCTTCTAATGGTCTGATAGCTAGACTCTGACATAAAAGACTCTCAAAGTTCAATAAGAACAGTCAACAACCACAACCCATGAGCAAATATTTTAGCACTCTCCACCAACGACAACACACAGATGGCAAAGAAGCACAAGGGAAGATGCTCAACATTATTACTCATTAGGGAGATGAAAATCAAAACCTGCAAGTGAAACAGGCATGGGCACACCAACCAAGTTCCAGAAGGCTGAGGAGGAGGGCACACTGCGAGTCTGAGTCTGAGGCCAGTCTGGGCAACAGAGACCCAAACACACACGCTCATATGCACACACACACACACACACACACACACACACACTTATGCACACACTCATGTATACATACACTCACATAAACACACGCACATATACACACAAGTATACACAAAGGTTGCACATGTATACACACACAAGTATATACACAGCACACAAGTATATAACAGAAGTATACACACACATACACTCACGCACATATACACAGAAGTACACACACACACAGCACAGTTGTTGGAAATTGTGAAGTTCTGTCCCTGTATGCTGCTTATAGGACTGTAAACAGAATAACTACTTCTAAAAACAGGCTGCGAGTTTCTTGGAAAATTAAATGCATAGTCTCCAGATGACCCAGCCATCGTATTCCACAGCCTTTTCTCAAGAAATATGAAGCATATATCTATTGTATGTGGCTGTGCACATAAACCCATGGCAGCTGTATTTGCCGTGGTG